TTCCTGCTCTTTCCTAGTTTAAAAAACCTTTTAATAATACCCATGTTCATGGAGTCATTGAAAAAGAACATGGTAGGAAGTGCTGTTGTGGAAGACAGTAAGGAATCTTGTCTTAACTTTTTCCAGACGGGGCTGGTGTATCCATTACAGAGCTGGAAAGCCAGCCAGATGCTACATGCCACAGCTGGTCAGACTAGATTCCCTTTCACAGCTCTGAAGTTAAAATCTCATTCTTGGGTTCTAGCGTCTTCTTTGACAGCTTGCTCTGACATGTGCATGTGCTCCGTTGCAGGCAGTGTCTTTCTGGGCACTAACAAGTCTCTTGTCATTTCAGAAATCTACCGCATTGTTTCACAGAAGCAGATTGCAGATCGATCTGCACATGATGAATCTCCTGGCAACAATGTCGTTGACATCAGTGTCCCACCAACCACCGATGGACAGAAATCCAACAAACTCCAGTGCTGTCAGAACCTGTGACCTCCTGTAGATGACTCTTGTGCCCTTCACTTTGTCTGTGCTTCATTTAGAAACTTGTGTGCACTTATCTCCTGTGATTCAGTGACTCCCTCTTCCCTCCTTTACCCCTTTCCCAAGTCCCTTCCTTTCATCTTAGAGCTTTAATTGTAGGGCTACCACTCCCCTGCCTCTGAAATCCCCTTCAATGTGGTGACTTTTGGGCTTGAAATGATAGGCACTGATCTGATAGACATGTTTGTGTTGGAACGTCTGCTGCTGGATATAATCCCATGAAACACTCTTGTCAAATGGTTTTGATTTGTTTGTTGCTTTTTTTTTTTCCTGGGAGAGGAACCATGGGGACTTGACTATAACAGTTGAAGAAATAACTGCATTTAGGTGACAAGGTTTTTTCCTCCTATAGATTCCCCCCACCTTGTGTTTCTGTAAACATGGAGGGGAAATTAAAAGAAAATAGCTGTCCTACCCAATGCTCTGTTTTCTGTCCTGATAGTCTCACAGTGAGGTTTTTAGTGGCTGCACACACATAAGAAAGCTGTTGAAAGTAACATTACTTATTATGTACTTACCCCTAATACAGTTAGTCTGGCTGTGTAGTTTACCATTTCCTGCTTGGGAAATCTTTTTCTAGTCTTGTTTTATTTGGGAACAATGAAGTATGTCTGCATTGCTTTCTCTGCCACCATGAATGCCTGTGCTGCTTGTGCAGGCTTTATGAAGTGGCTAAATATTTATTCATGGCTTATGTTAATCAGTTAACATTATTGTACAGTAAGTGCCAGCATATTGATTTCATAAACTTTTTGCAACCTGTACAAGTAGGCTTATTTTGTACTGTAGATCAGTGTCTGAAAGCAGGATCTTCTATAGTTCCAGGACTTTTTTTGCATGCTGCTTTTTCTCTAGATCTCTCCTCTCCCTGTTTGAGTGAGTAAAGCAATATTTTCATGTCATGTATATATCTGCACTTGTAAGGTTTTTGGTTGTTGTAGAGAAACACAATACTTTATACATTTTGTAAAACCTGTGCAGAACCATAGCATCTTGAACTTTCTCTTCATGATCTTTGACTACTGACCTTGTGCATAATCTTCTTGACCTCTACTAAAATGCATAATATTAAGATTTCACATAATAACTACTAACCTGTTGTTTTCCTCTTTTTCTGTTTTACTGAATTGCAGACTGTAATTCTCAAATGATTGTAGTTCACCTGATGTAACAGATTTGTCATCAGCAGGGCTAAATACTATAATACTTTTGTTTTGCTGAATGGGAAGAATGTTATCACAACTTCGTGTAATCGGTCTCTTGCTAGTTTGTGAAAATCTTCTGTGATGGCTTTTCGTCATTCACCAGCTCTTATGCACTTGCATCTCCTCTGGTTATACGCTGAATGTTATTATGAGGCAAATAATGGGTGAAATGATCTAAAGGAAGAGTTGGAGACTATCTGCTGCTCTCTGAAGGCTAGTGAAACAATTTGCAGTGAATTTTTGCTCTGTATTCTGAGACTGTACCTCACTTGATGAATCCTACCTGCATATTAGTGAGCTGATTTTTCTTTTCTGATACAAAGCAAATACGAACCTGTGAATTGTGCTTGAAGGGGAAATCTGACATTCCAGTCTCAACTGTTTTGTCTGGTTATTTAATAAAATTAAGGGCAGTTAACTGTGATGGCTTTTCTTTTATAAGATCTACAGACCAATGCCTTTAATTTTGTACTGCATGCACCTAGAGGGCTATAGTTCACAGCAAAGGGTGCATGTGGTGCCTAGCACTTCCACTTTTCAACTTTGTTTAGAGGATACATTAAAGGTGAAGGGGTGCAGCCTAATCCCATTGAATGGGGATGCAAATTCCTCTTTAAGCATCACAGTGCTCTGTCCTAAGAGTGTCCCCAGTTCGGGAAGCACTTTCAACACTTGGTATTTACTTTAATAATAGCATCCTTTTGAGGGAAGGTGTAGTCAGTGAGAACTGGAGACTTCTCCTTTTTGGTGGTCCTAGACCAGAATGTGATGTGCGGTCAGTATTTAGAAGGCTGGCAGATGAGCACACCATCAGAGAGAATGGAAAATTCAGAGATACTGAAAATATTTCATTCAAGAACAGGTGGACACTAGTGGAGCTGGGCTCCTTTTATTTTTGAACAAAACTTTTTATAAAGAAATTAGTTGAATAGCATGAGGAAGAATCATGCTGTTAAGAAGACTTAGTTTCTGGGTGATGTATTAATGTGTTCAGTCTGCAAATCCTGTTCTAAACACGAAGTTTCTAGAATCAATCTGGCCTGGTACAAGAAGCTGAGAAGCAGTTTAGTCACTTCCTTGTCTCCTAAGAGATTTTTCTTTAGTCTTTGACTTTGTGGAAGGCTCTAAACTTTGCCTCGGAGTCCCAACAAAAGGTTCATGTCCAGGGCTGTTAAATTGAAGTTGAAGAGACCTTGTACAACTTCATTGTGCATTGACCAAAGCCCCTCAGAGCAGGTGGAGCTTGAACCCATACTGTTCATGCCAGGGGGCTTGGGTTGTTTTTGAGATCTGTTGTGTGATGTGGAAAGGCCTGCTGTCTTTTGCTGCAGGACTGTTCGGTATGCCGGAGATGTGGGAAGCATGTGTGTGCATGCACATATGCGAGCAGCGTAAACTAAGCAGTGGTTTTATCTGCTGTGGTCACTCAAGTTGTTAGACCAGGTATTGACTGCTTCCCAGCTTGCTGTGCTGCTCTCCAGGCAGTTAGAGATGCACCCATTCTGTGGGTTTGAAAAGCTCTTGCCTAGACTAAGCCAGGGCTGTTAGTGCTGGTAGAAAAAGGACAGCAGACCAGTTATGCTTGGTAAAACCATCTTCCAGTGCATAGACAGGGGAAGATGC